TTTAGGTCCAAAAATAATGACTTCAGTTTTGTTTCTGTTCAGCTGGAGAAAGTTTTGGCACATCCACACATTATCTGCTCTAAGCATTTATTCAGTGATTGGATGGGGTCAAAGGTCACCTGGTGACATCATAATGTAGAGCTGTGTGTTATCTGCATAGTTATGGTGGCTAATATTTGCTGTTATAAGCTGAGCTAGTGGTCAGAACTCGTCAGAACTCCAGCTGCAGGTTCTGGACGTTGGTTTGTCATCAGAATCAAAGCTGGACGAGTTTCTCTTTAGGTCTCTGGTTCTGGAAATGTTCTGCAGGTGGCGTCTGGCAGCTAGCAGAACCGTCGGCTCCTCTGATGTTGGGAACAGAAAGTTTCTGATGATGTTTTGTGAAGGTCAGCAGAGGTCAGCTGCAGGTGACAGACGAACAGCGATCACATGCGTTTTCACAGAAATGGGCCAGTAGCGATCGCTGGCCAATCGATCGCTGGCCAATCGATCGCTGGCCAATCGATCGCTGGCCAATCGATCGCTGGCCAATCGATCGGAACATCGTCCCGATAAACCTGTTTGCTCAGAGCTGCTTTGATTCATAGCAACAGTCATTTAAACCTGAATCACAACTTTTCTTTGCCTCTTCATTCTGCTGGTGTTGTTTCTCACCTAAAATATTTTTGAACTGAACCGTTTCTGAATTGCTCTGGACTCATGAACTGGACAACGGTTCTTTCCAGAGTCACTTCATACACAGGAAGTCAGGAATTAGATTTGCCCAATAAGAAAGAATCTTCCATGTCCCGCCGTCTTCCTTCCTGTCTCTCTCATCCACATGAATATTTTTTTTTCTTTTAGTACATTTTCATGTTTCCACAAATAGTTTTCTTCAAAGATCTTGTTGAACCTTCAGATCAGAGTTTTCAGGAAGGTCTGACTTGTCTGGCTCCGCCCCGTCCAGGTGACCTACCAGCTGAAGATCCTCACCACGGCGCTCTTCAGTGTCCTGATGCTCAGGAAGTCTCTGTCCAGAGTCCAGTGGTTTTCCCTGCTGCTGCTGTTCGCCGGCGTCGCCATCGTCCAGGTACGGACGGTTCCGGCTCTGCTGATCCGGAGAACGGTTCCGGTTCTTTGTGTCATCCAGACTTTGGTCTCCTGCAGGTTTTCTTTCAGGCTTGTTCTGATTAGCGCCGCCCGCCTCAAGTCACATCAAGTCAAAGTTTATTTCTAACAGCCTCACCAAAGCTTATTTATCTATTATAGATAAATGCTGAAATAGAAAATAAAACAAAATAGACAAAAATAAAATTGACAAAGATATCTTTTTTTATTTATTCAAACAGTTTTTAAGTTTTTTAGCTGCAGCAATTTTCTTCCATCCTCCATCTTTTGTGTTTCGCTGTTGTTGAAGGCCAGAGTTTTAATTGTACAACATTTTCAGCAACAAGGGATTTCAAAGAGCTTTACATCATAAAGACACAAAGTCACAGAACATCACGCTTCGGATTATTGATCGATGTTTCACGATTATTGATCGATGTTTCACGATTGTTTCCAATAAAACCAACCAGCTGCTTTCAGTCTGGACTTTAAGGATCTCAGGGTTTCGGCTGTTTTACAGTTTCTGGACGTTTGTTCCAGATCTGTGGTGCATAGAAGCTGAAAGCTGCTTCTCCTCGTTTGGTTCTGGTTCTGATGCAGAGCAGAACCAAACCTGATGGGTCTGGAAGGTTGCTATGATGACAGCAGATCTTTAATGTGTTGCTGAGCCGCTCAGTGATTCATAAACTAACCAGTGAGGGACTGTAGAACCGGCCGGGTCCATGTGCTCATCCTCCTGGTTCTGGTTCTGGTCAGAACTCCAGCAGCAGCTGCAGGATTGATTTATTTTTTTAAGCCTACTGAGAGTTCAGCATCCAGAGGCTCCATCTGCGTAGGGTCAGGGTCAGGGTCAGGGTCAGGGCTGCCGACCTCAGAGCTGCTAGAGCTCACTTCAGCACCAGGGACCCAAAAACACTTTAAACCATCAATAAGACCTTAAACTGGATCCTGATGCAGCAGGGAGTCGGTGAAGGGGTTGTAAAACCAGGGGTCATGATTTCAGGCCTCCTGGTTTTGGTCATCAGACGACCTGCAGCATCGTGGAGCTGCAGCATCTTGTTTGCGCTGCTCCAAGGCTGAGTTCAAAGAGTCACGATAATCTAATCGTGACGAACGACTGGATCAAAATCAGGCAGAGGAAGATGAGATCTTACCTTAGCAAGGATCTGAAAGGATCTGGCTTTGATAGCAGCGCTAACATGCTAATCACATTTAACAGGATCAACAATCACAGCCAGATTTTCACAAACGGACGACAGCAAGACAGCCAGCCGACCACACCATCACGTCCAGGAGAGGACTGCGCTGACCAAACTCTATAATCATTGGTTACGTATTGTAAGCCTGGGTTCTATGAGAAGAGGCTATCGCTACTGGGTTCATTCCTGGCGCAGCGCAGCACTGGAAAAAGCTTAGTCCACTCCCATCCAGTAGGTGGGCCCCTCCCCAGTCTGCATGAATAACAGTCAGGCCAGACAAACGGCCCCTAACAGCATTTTGGTCAGCTATTCAGAACCAGTGAGGCCCACAGCTGCACCTATACTCCGAATCTGGGGTCACAATATGTGACCAACGTTATATTTCGTATAGGCTTCGCCCTTTAAGGCTATTGCTAGCAGGTTAATGGTGAAGCAGGATGTGGTGTATGCCTCTAGTCCATCCAGACCACCAGGAAGCATCTGCTGCATAACAAAGACGGTCTCTGTTAGAGGTCCTGGCCTCCTTCTGCAGAGAGGAGACAGGAGAGAGCCTCTGGTCAGAAAGGTTGAGATAAAGAGGAACAACGAGGGTTACAAACTGTAACAGTGTAACGATGAACAGAGCAGGTAACTTATTGCACTGCACTTGTTGTTCTGCAATGCTTAATAAACATAGAACTGCCCAGGAAAAAATAACACAATAACGAGTCACAAGTGAAAAACATCATCATCAAAAACGGGATCGGGACGCAGCTCAGCCGAGTCGAGACAAGAGGGAACAGAGAGCGGATAAATGGCTCCTTCTCTTTGCAGTTTTCAAAGACAGGAGTGGAGCTGCAACAGAACAGAGGTCAAATCCCACGGTGGAGCAAGTGGGCGTGGCACCAGTCTGCTTCTGCACACACCTCTCAGAAACCGCTGCATCAGCGGGTGGCTGCAGAGCGTTGTGTCACCAGAACATAAAGACACAAAACAGCTGCAGCTTAAGTTGAATGGTCCTGAAAGCTGAATTTCTGTCTATCAGCTGCTGGAGAAATGACAGCACTGAGCCTGAAGGACATGAAACGGCTCCACGCCTCCCCAGC